TATGATAACATGAAATCATCTCATTTGCGCACAAGAAGTCCCTTGCTGGTTGGCAGAATAAAAATTCAACACAGATGTTCCAGTTTTTGCATTTATGTATTGACAAAGAATCAAGATTTTTATTCGTTTTATTTTGTTTCTCCGTTTGTTCGCCGTCTGTTTCGTTACAGGCATCAAGTGAAAAGGCGAAGACAAATCCCGAATAAGAAAATCATGAGCCAAGTAGAATCGAAGAAAAAAAAGGAAAATAAATACAATAAGGAGACGACAGACATGGCAAACTATAGGAAACGAAACGATCAAGATGCAGATGAAATCGAGTATTTTTTGTTCGCTCGGCAGGAGCACAATAGCAAACATACACATAATGAACCGAACTACTCGAAACGAAAATTAGAGAGTAATTCTACCATTTTTGGAGTGTTGCCCAAACGATGCTATACATACATTTATGTTGAACATTTGACACATGTTGACTATGATGGTGTGCACTATGAATTAAATATTAGAATAGGCCCAGCGACAAAACAAACCAAAAGGAAATGAATAGAAAAAAAGCATATGTATGCGAGACCATATTTTCAATTGATGTCATCTCCAGTTGTACTTTTCAAAATTTATATATATAAATGTGTATTCAGAAGGCGTTAGATATTAGAAAATTCAGCTTCACCTGCTCTTTATCGTGCATTTTCTTATTCACAATCTTCGTTTTACCTTCTGTCGTCTGCATTTTTATCGGGATTTTTGCAATCCGAAACAAAATCATGACGTAGTTTTTGTGTGTTTCACATTTACCATGGATTTTAAGCCACGTGCGTCTTGCTTTCTTGAATATTCGTAATTTACATGGTGCTGGTTATAAAAGCGTGATCTTGATTGTAGCACACACTTTGATTAAGTGAAAAGTGTGCACTTTATCGCGTTTAAAAATGATAATTTTCATTTTATCCGCTTTTATCAATTATATTACGCTCGGCTACAACGTTTAATGATATTTAATGAGTAGTTTGAACGCAAACTTGTGAAAAAGGCACAAATTTGATGAAGAGAATACAACACTCGAATGTGGTTGTTGTCTTTTTTTTATATCATTTAATTTAAATTTAAGGAGTGAACATTCGAATTGTGGCCTCGTAATTTATGCATTGCGTGTATTAAAACGTGGCACATGTTTGTCGTTGTTATTTATGTGACTCATGAAAATAGGATCTCCATGCAACTATGAAATTGATCTTTTTGTTGCTTCTGGGTTTTGTTCTTGTTTTAATGGAAAACATTAGACTCATGTATCGTAGACTCATTTTTTCTATATTTACTATCCAGAAAAATAGAAGCCTAATGATATCTTCACGGGGCAGCCATATTATATTATTATTATTAAAGTGCGTAATTCAATACACATATCGTTTATATATTATAGGGCTATATATTCGAGTTGCGAAGAGAAAAAAAAATTGGCTTAATACACAATAGAGATACGTAGGCCAATTGTGTGTTGCCGATCATCAAAATGAAATTGGTTCCAGCTGTTCAATTTATTTTGGATATTGTGCGGTCGTACATTTCTTCATTACACACATTTCGGACACATGAACATGCCTTGACTTATGTTTACTTTCAACCAGAAAGATTTTACATGGTCCTTTTTCATTTTCGCTTAACTTACCGTAAAAAAACAATCTGTTTGGTTATGTCCTTTATGGTACATTATAGTTAGTTGCATTTCATTTTATTATATTGTTCGTACAGAAAACCGAATGTCTTGTCATGCTATTTTCTTTTTCACTCGCTTTATGGGCTGATGCAACTGTTCAGGAATAATAATAATAATAATAACGAAACGATAAACAGACAGAGACATGAAAACAGAGGAGAAGGAGAAACAATTGGAAGGGACGTATTGAAATCTGAAAAAGAATCAACTTAAAGAACAACAGAAAAAATGATCGAACGAATAGAAAAAAAATACGTAACCTGCATGAAGAAAGAAAGAAAAAAAAACACAAATTTGTGTGTTGAGAGTTCGTCGCGTGCCACCTGCTCGTTGTTGTTTTTTTTATTTCGTTTCGTTTCGCTTCGATTTTATTTTGTCCATGTGCTCGCTTTTTCCACCAATAAACTACTATTCACTTTTCGTTTAAATTAAATAAACAGAAAGGTGTATTTTTGTTCTCACTTGGTTTCTATAGCTGTTTTATCAGCTTATTTATGACTTGGATATACTTTAATTGTGTCTGGATATCTACGTTGCCGCATTTTGATTTATAAAATTTCTTGACTTTTCCACCTTAATGGTATCAATAAAAAAAAAGAAACGCGAATTAAAGACAAACATACTACCACCATAAAAAACAATATCTGCGGGTAATGGTAAACTTATGCAGATTCACTCATATTAGACTCAGCCAATCGTGTAAACAAAAACAAATGGAAGATACAACTGGCTCGCTTCAAGGATAAACTCATTAACTTGTGTTTTCTTTTCGAGTTCATTTGTATACAATGTTTTTTTGAAAGTTTTTGCACACAAGCGCACACACATCCTATACACATTTCAGCATTTATTTGATAGATGCCATTGTGTTTGGCAGTTACCAAAGAATTTCATCTAATCAAACATTGATTGGAAAAAAGTAACGACCAACTAACACTGGGCGTGTGACCCAACAAATCATATTCACTCGAGGGACAATTTTATTTTCCCTTCAGGTGGTCGCCAAACAAGCGAAAAACATTCAATTCAATAAACTTTTTCCACCCTCCATCGCCCATCGGCGACAATTTATTGCTTTTGCGAAACTTTTAAAGTGCATCATCATTTTTTTTTCGTCTCTGAAATAAAGTTTTCGCCATAATGTTGCCATTTGTGTTTAACAAAGTATTAAAGTGTGGTCGCACAAAATACACAATTTCTAATAGATAATTATGAGTCAGTTGCCCATCTATAATATTTGCCAAAAGAAAATATGTATATCTCAATTGTCTATGATGATGATGAGAGATGATTGCGAAAATGAGTCATTTTCCGGAGCAATGTTACTTCGAATCACGGATTTTGTTTGTTATCTATTCGTTGTTCGTTTACGCATTATAAACGTATACCTTAAGTCGGTGGAGAAAGAAATTCAATGCTCGAAACATCTTGATAGTGGAGATGAGCGAGAGAAAAAATCAATGACCTTTTAATGTGGAAAGTTTATTTTTTTTTAATATAAAATGAACATGGTATTGCATCAAATCGATAAAGTTTCATTTTATAGTGAAAAATGTAGTATGCTACCGAACCGCGATACCCATACTCTATTTCATTCATCGAAGGCTATTAGAATTCTGAGCGGTATCTCGTGAACTAATAATTGCATCGTAAAAGTTTTCCAATTGGAGTTCAATGCATAGACTGTGTATATCCGATATAGCCAAGCAAATTTTTATCGAAATAATAAAAATACCAGAAATGAACGGATCTCATTTGATGCAAACAATGAAAAGTTTTCAGAAAATAACAATACCCTATGTTTTACCAGTTTGAGCACTTCTCTTTTTTTCGGATGAGGAATTTTTCTGACTGCTTTTCCTTCTTCTCTCTCTCTCTCTGTCTCGTATGCAATCATAGTGCAGTTTTAAGCAAGGCACAAGTTCACTTTTTAATGGGGATGCCGGTTTGAGTAACAAGAGAAAATTCTATGAACATTTGTAACAATAATAATAGTTGGTTGGATAAGCATCTGAGGTCTGCAGCCATGCCACTGGATGCTTTTAGATATATCGTATTCGATGGTAGCGAGAGATGGTAATAATTGCATTACACGCTTTCCGCCTTCCTAGTGGATGCTAACTCACCCTGAAGCATTCAAAATGAATATGTGACTGCAGTACAATATAAACCATACGTTTACAGCACATTTGTTTCGATTTAAATCCACTATATTCGGTTTGATGGTACTGTTATTGCTTTATGCCCTTTTGCACACACACACACACATGCACCGGAGCATTGTCCGCAAAGTGCTAAGTCAAGTTTGAAATTTTAAATCCAAATATGGCATATTATTACGAAACCAGGTATTATCTACTTAGTATAAAATGTGAACAATCAAAGCTAATCACAACGTGAAAGAAGAGAGATTTTGACAACTTTTTCTAAAAAGAAAAACAAGAAACGAAATTAAATGGAGAATGCCAAAGAGAAAAAACGCCACCGGGATGGTCCGCATTGCTTTAACAAAACACGTTAAATGCATCATAAACATGTGCTGATGACTTTGAATAATAAAAAAATAACACGAATAACACAACTTCATCGTGATCATTCCAAAAATAGTAAACGGTATTATTTGAGACTGTTTATGATATGTGAAATGATAGATGCACAGAGAGGTTCCCAATCAATAAAAAAAGAGACACCACGGAGAACCGAGAGAAAGAGAACCATTCGAAAACAAGCGAACATTTCACGCACATATATGTTTTGTCCGCCTATTTTATTTGATGTGCATTTTAATATTGATTGTTATTTGGTCGCCATCAAACGAATGAGTCATCAAAACGTTCGGTTCATACGGCCATGTATATATATGTTGCGAGCAGCAATAATTCACATATATACGCGACGCACATTTAATGCTGAAGCGTTCAAAATTCTAGCAGTTTGTCTTTTCTCTCTTCTATCCATTCAATCGCGATTTAATATGTGTACGTATCAGAATTGTAGCGACGTGACAACGGCGAAACAAGAAAACATGCGGTCGACCAACGTTAGCATAGTTGAATATCTAAAATATATATTTTCCAATATCGTCAGAGCGAACCCACACAAACGCAACAGGATCAGCGTCGTTCACATACGACAACGGCAACGACACACGCGTGCACACTGCTATAAACTTGCGTTGCTGCCGTACACATGATCGACTCTCGGGCACATACAACATAGGTTCTTCGTCCCATTGCACCATTGCACAAACAAAGCACTGAATTATTCAGTCGATACAGTCCGCCCGAACCGTACAGTCGCGTTTATTTCTGTATCGTATACATTATTTTTTTTTTATTCCAATATTTAAGAGAGAAAAAAGAAACTATTTTGGGAGTATTGGTTCTGTTGTTAGTTACATATTTGATTTCACAATAACAGCAATCCACACACGGTTTTCAAAACAAGTTTATACGACGAACCGAGTCGACGTGTTGTGATTGTATGTGCGTCTACTTATGAGTGTGTGCATTTGTGAGTGTTTGTATTCACATGAATTTTGATATTTTCGATTTGTTTCGTGTACGCTGTACGTTGTTTAAATTAAACGAAGAGTGTCTGCAGTCGCGTTAATAAATTTGTATCGTTTTTCATTTAGTTGTTTTTTTTCTGTCTTCATCGTTGGTTCGTTGTGCGTGTATGCGTTGGCTTTAATATTTAAATTTATCTCATATTCGAACTATAAGCGAGTGCAAGGCGACGACCCAAACTAAGAAAAATCAACAAGACTTGTAAGATAAATGGGAAAAAAAGACGCGAATATAAAGGAACGGAGAGAAAGAGAAAAAAAAACACGAAGAAATTCATGCGACTAAATTGGATGGAACAGAATATTTCATTTTAAAACGTGTTCGAGAATTTTTCCTTTTACTGCCCGGTTTTAAGTGCATTTTCTTCGGAGTGATTTTTATCGACGACGCAAATGTTACATTTTATTTTATTTTCAAAAGAAGTGGACAGTTTTGTTTATGTTTATTGAACTCAAAACATTTTTACAAAATTAATTTAATACATCGCTCAATCTCCGCGGTGTAAGGACTGCCATACAAATGTGACATTGAATGTAAATGTTTTGAATTGCAAAACTAAATAAAATAAGAAAACATTTATATACCTCATCTACATTGGAATATCGCACGTTCAACTAATTTATTCTAAAAATAGAAGTTTGTAAACAATAACGATAATTTGCAAAACTGTAAACTTACGTAAAATTTTCGCCCCAGTAAAATATACCGACCACACCGAAAATCGACCAAAAACCACAACAAGATATGAACTTTGAATATTGACGACAACGACAACAACGATGACATAGACTGCGAAAAAAAAACTAAACCGGTCTACAAAGCAATTTAAATTGAAGTCCAAACATTGCGGCTTTACGAATATATTTCAATTAATTTTTGGATCATTTCTATGCATACTATCATCGCACAGATTTGATTTCATTAAAACGTGAGCAATTCTAAATGGATTGCATGAACAAACATGGTTCTGGGAAAAATGGATTATTCGGATTATGATTCTTCATCAATGTATTCAGATGAATCGGTAAGCATTCAACTATATATCCCAAAATTCGATCAAAATTCATATATATATGCTTTATGTTGGCGTTTATTTCTTGTGCGTCCATATCAAAATGAGTCTGCGGTTTCGTGTCTATTCAAAACCGCTAACTAATCACAGATAAATCTTTTATGCACGACATCAATTGATCCAAATAAATGTAATTTCCCATCAAATGAAAGCTTGCCTAATGCATTAGTGACGTTGATTTACCTCTATTTTTTGAAGCCAATCAAACTTTTCCAATTTGACCCACGTAAGCCTACACTCAATCAAGTAATCACTTCAACTAGAAAATATGGTGTCTCTTAAGTCATTTTAAATGTATGATTCTTTTGAATTGAGTTCATAACTTTCGCATATTTCAAATGGTTAAATAAGACGCGATTGCAGTTGGTATCATTATAAAAGATAGAAAAGAAATATGTAAATTGGGAATTATTTATGTCATGGACCATTATCGTGCGTCTCTAATTACGATTATTACTATCAGATCTCATTGCATGCGCGTTCATTCGTTCGCTCGCTGGCGCGCTCACTCGCACATGTTCCCGCATTTGTGTGCCCTGCAAATAGCACGTTTACAACGTTAAAATCAAAGCCACGACATGACTTTGAACCGCATATAAAATATACAATGGGAACAAATCGAATACAAAAGTGATAATTTCATTACCGAAACAATAAACTTTCGTTCGTAAATGTTTCGCACGAAAATTGCGTTCGTTAGAACATAGAAAAAGAAAAAAAATTACCTGTTTACATAAGAAAGATCGACAATGTTGATAAATTACATAGACACTGACCATTTGTAACATTTTACGACAGTTTTTTTTTTTTTTTGATGAACGATAAAGCGTCTCCGTTCTGCATCAGGTAACATCATGAACATTATAAGAGACTCTGAACCATAAATTTAATAAAAGAAACCAAGAAAGTAAATCAAAAAAGAAGAAAAAAAAATGTTTCCAAGTTCCTGTTGTTTTCAAGAGAAACAAAAAAATTCAGAATTAAATAAATGGCCAGGATTAGTTCTCATGCTCAAACCCAAGCCGAAAACTAATTTAGCATTTTTTTCATACATATTCTTAATTCATATGCAACTAACGACTATTGTACAAAATGAAAACGCAACCGGTCAGTACATTCAGCCTTAGACCGAGAATCGAAACAATAGCAACATGGACTGCGCACAATCACATTCATACTTTACAAAAGAACGTTTTCGTATTTTAATTTTAATTGTATTTTGGTCGCTGGTTTCACATTGAACTTCATGCATACTGCAGTTTTTTTTTCTTCCTCTGTCGTTTTGATCTACGAACTATTCGTTACTTTGTATGACGACGGTAAGAATTAAAATTAAATTCGACGCATATATGCTCTATCATGCGTAATATCTTTAGTGCGCTCTTTCAATTTTATTACTCGAAATTGTGTTCTTTGTTGTTGACGTTGTTTTTGTCATGCAGAATATGAATTTCAGATTATGAGCATTAATACAGAAATGTGCATGCAAAACAAATACTCAAAATGCTCTGGAATGCATATTAAACACGAATTCGTATATCGTAAAGAAGGATTCGTTTCAACAATTCTTTCAGCAATTTTCTTCGAATGAACTAGAGATTACAGTGCAAGCCCCGTTTCATACGAAGTTGAATTATAAATGTTGATTGCATTCATATGTATATATGATAAAGCATTCCATTGCCTTAATAGTGTGCAAACTTATTAAAAATACATTTCAAAAGTTATTTTGATTAGGCACTCTCACACCCTCACAGTTTAAATGAGGTAAAGTGCTAAATGAAGAGCACCATAAAACATCGTCTACGTAATTTGGAAAATTGTCGTCGAAATTAACTGCGAGTTTGTGGTTGAGATAATGGATTTTAGTCCGACACTCTACAAAATGGCGCCTTTAAAAATTCATAGCTGCAAGATTATCACTATTTCGTATATTTGTCGCTAGAAAATCCCACATTCATGTTTCCGAAAATGTTTATTTTAAGATTGATGCAAACGACTTTGCAAGAATTTTCTGAGTATCTTGGAATTTAGGTTAAAATGTACAGTTTTTCGCCGGCGTTGATAATTTTCAGCCATTTTCTAGTCCATTTTGAATAATCGGCATTTCAAGTGATTACGTCTAAAGCAATCAGGCTGCCACCGCATTTTGTGCGTGAATGAATGCCCAAACAAAATCAAATGTGCATTGCCAAACGAAAACCAAAACAATGTAATCATTTGTAAACACATTTATCTAATGACGCAATTTACATAAGCTCTGCCGCATTGACTTAAGTAAGTGTAAGAAAGTGCGATGTGAAAAGTAGAAACGAAAATCGCGGGTTCTGGTTTCTTGTTTTGCCATATCTTCAGCATTCGACCGTTAATGAATAGGCGATAAATAAGGACAACAAATTGAGCGAAAAACGGTCTGAACCAAATGAATGGAATTTACATGGAAAATATCATTTTCCATTCGTTGTTCACCCAACAAAAATCTACGGCAAACATATGTGCCATTTGCATATTTATTTTTGCAAGCTCAGGCGCCTACTCAAAATCACGTATTGCTATCCGTAACGATTCACAACAAACTGAAGAAAAAGAAGAAAAAAAAACCGAAGAAGAAGAAAGAAGGAATGATCTTTCCAGGAAAGCGTAATTGTCGTGCAAATTGCTTTTGCTTTTGCTTTACCCCAAAAAATAGAGACACGAATTCATACGCTCGATAGTCACATAGAAAAATATACACAACAACAATAACAACAACAACAAATTCTTTAACTTCAGCTCATTGTGCAAAGCAAACGCTGTTACCCATTTATTGTTTTCCTCGTTACGTCCGACATAAATAACACAATAATAACTAGTGATTGCTGCTTATTTTATAGATTTTAATCCACTGATGAGAGAGAATATTGCACTATTTATTCTGTTGCAATCGACTAACTGCGCAGTGTGGCACTGCAAAAGAACATTTTCTCTCTGTGTGTCTGTTGTTCGTTTAAGTGATTGCCAGCGAGACGATGATTCTGAAATATTGCATTTTAATTTATAATTCAAGCGTTTATTTGTTGTTTGTGTCGATGACAAAATTATATGAACGTTGACATTTCGATACATATATATATAAACTTAAGATTTTTCATGCTCGAATATCATGACAACAATATGTTAATTCCCAAATGATATTTTCTGGTCATGCTTCGCCTTTTCGTTATATTGTGCATATATATAAATGTGTTTCTTTTTTCTTCAACGACCCAATACATTTCGATACATTATTTTCTCGCTTCTGAATGGCTCATTTGCAAATTACCATTCGCCCGCATCACATAAATGTACTTTCAACGACTTTTTTGTCGCCTCGAACATGAATCAGCGTTTTTTCCATGTTTTTTTTGTTAAACGAAAAAAAATCGAAGTTATTTTCGTAATCTGGTTCATTAATAGCGATTCCAGGGAAAAAACCACATTTGGCTAGTCCGCGATTCAAACGAAATTGCTATTTACTGTGCGATGAATGCGATGATCGGTGTGAATGCGAAACATTCGTTATAAATAAAATCATGTTTCAAATGCGATTTATTTATAAATGGCGTTGGAGCGAAGATGTATACGCGCTGGTAATACATTCTAGACGCTGCCAAGAATCGAAACAAAAACCGGAAATACATCGAATAGTCAAGACATGAATACTAAAATCCACTTACACCGGATGCAAATATTGCTGTTTATTGTTGCTTTCCTTCCACAATCTTCATCTGCGTTTCGTTTTGCGTTCTGTTTATGTTTCCATCTCTGTGTTATTTCTTTTTCGTATTCCTTAAAAATTCCATATGCACACTCTTGAGAAGGGACAGATTGTGTGTGTGCGCGCTTCAGAATAGAATACATGCAATATAATAGAAAACGGTCCCGGGTACTTTCAATAATCCTTGGACTTGTCATAAAAATATTATGTCCATCAAACAACGGAACACGAATATTGAGCGCTCACTTTCAGGCATTTCTCACTGACACTCACATTCTTTTCTTTATTCATAAAAAGGGTATGAATTTGTTGTTTACTGTCTGACAAACTGTTAAATTTTCTTTAGAAATTTATTCCATAAATATTTATACATCAACATAAAAATGAAAAAAAAAAACGAACGGAGCCAATAGAGTAAGTATCGTTGATATAGAGATAACATTTTAAGTCAACAACATAAGATTGTTGCATTTTTATGTATTGTCATGGTCGGTCCGAAAGTGGAAAGGAAAAGAAAACCAAAGAAAAATGGTCTAGCTGTATTTCTGGTTCTTCTGTTATCTCATATTCGATTGAGCAATTGAGGGCAGGCTCAAGCAATCAAAAGATGATTATATGTTGTTTATATAATGTCCAAACAATAACATTTCGTTGTGATAACAAAAGACCGTTTCAAATTGAGACTAAAGAGATAAAAAAAAATTATGTTTTATGCATCATAACGTAGTACCTTTTTATGCGGGTAGCATAACTGCTTTAATATAAATGTAATTAAATTCTGTGCAACGTTTGGTCTCCGTCAAGTATTTGTTCGAACATGTGTTCTTTGGGATGGTCGACGTTTGTGTTTTTATTTCGATTTAATTTGCCAAACAATTATCCCAGCACCAATTTACAAATTTCAATGTGGATTCAGCTCATTTAGACTTTGATCTCTTCAAGTGGTTTCGCTAAAATATTGTTGTTTTTTTATTATTTGTAATTCTTCTACAAATTTCTAGAAGCATAATAAATTAAGCAACTTCCCTTGAAATTCGTTTCATTTTCGTTTCATTCGACGAAACAATGTGAACATAAACAACGATATGAGTCGAGCGGATATGAATGCGTAAGCGATAACATTCTGAATAGAATAAAACAATGAATGTGAGTTCGTTTCATTGTTAATGTCAAATATCAAACGAACAAAAAATCGAATTGACATCGATTGAATAAA